CCCTAAACCTGAAAACCCTAGATCCTATCACTGTGACAGCAGGGCTGCAAGCGATTGCTGGCGAGCAGGACGCAGTTTTTGGCTCCCAGAACCGACATCTCCATCGCACTGGCTGTTTCTTCGATGGCATTGCAGTAATACAAGCCAGCTCCTCAGAAGCTGGGGTTATGTAGTGACGTATATGAACTAGGTTTCCCAAGCTTAGGGGTGGCGGTTTGGGGGCTCCCATAACAGGGACTATAATATATTCTTTTGGGGCGAGGGTTTACGGCTTTGAGGGCTCAATGAAAGTCCATTCGTTGTAGTGTCAAACACTCTCACCCCTGACAATGAACATTTCCGCCAAAATGATCGGGCTCCTGTACGAATGTTTCGGGGAACGCAGCCGTTGGAATTCTGAATTTGTGCTTTCTCACAATTGCGGTTCCCTTTTAGAGGTCCCCATCTCTCTTTGCTGGACAACCCAACATTCAATGCATTCTGCCGTCTTCGTTTCTGTTGGGTTTACATCTTCGAAAACCGAAACAACTTTTGAATCAATACAGATCCAGGCTCCATCTAAGCAGAAAGGTGTGTCCTTCGGCTGTCGATCCACCTTCGAATACTTGGGATAGGCCCACCATCCAAAAGTTTCGCATTTGGGGCCACTCGGAAAGAGCCGCTTTGATTGCTCATCAGTCAGCGGCGCAGGGGAAAAGACCTTCCAGATGTGCTTGCTGTCCCCTTTCCGGGTACCATTATGCAGGCCAATGCTGTTGAAGCCGTCACCAGTGGTGCTCAGAATGACGCCAGGCACTGGTTCGGAACAATGCAAGGCCTTCGGATTAGGCTGTGTGTCGTAGAATGTCGCGTAGATCCGTTGATACCTCGGGCCCCAGCCCTCTCCAAAAAAACCTAAAGCCAAACAGGACACTAGAAGCAGTCAGGAAAAACTGCGCCCGGAATAGGGGAATTGAAGGCTTTCGTCCCCGACATACCTATCACATCAAAAAAGATTGGTGTAATGACACTAGACAGAGTGATATTGGAAATAAGAAGAATGACAACCCAAACGTAGCATCTATGTTTATGATCAATGAGAATGATAGTAGTCCTGATGCCTATGTTTTATCTAAGGACGGCTATGCCTCAACACCCCTAACCCTAACCCTAAACTCTAAA